TTTTGTGCAATATATATATGTTGCGTTTTGAATGGATCTCTATAAAGAATAAAGTTTGGACCAGTTGGAAATAGACATGATTAAGATCACGTTGCATGTAATTTCCATGCCACTTATCCATATTTGATCTATGTCATTGAGTGCATACAATTGTGGTGATCATTATGGTTTAGTCACATTAGATAGTGATGAAAGCTGTAGTGGTTCCCTGTTGTTGTATGAGATGGACCAGATTGTTTAAGGGGAGTCTAAAAGTAAATAACATACGGTTGCGCGCCTAAAGATTTTTGTGATATAAGTACTTAAATGAATATAAAGCCCAAGTGGGAGATTGTTAGAAATTTTATTTCTAATAATTATTGTGGGCTACATATATTATTTGTAGTATTTATATTAGTTATTTACATTTAGTTGGGCTCAATAAAAGTGATCTAATTTTAGTGCCTTTAGACTGCCAATAGAAAAAAACTGATATGGGCCCAAATAAGTCGAAACCAGATTTGGCCCGTTAGGGGTTAATGGGAACCCTAATAGGTTTAAAATCATAAAGATGGTCATGGTCCCCAATATGCCAAATCAGAAATATATGTCTCTCTGTCTCCCCATCAGAAGAGTAACATCAAGTTCCATCAAGGAATCTAGTGATTTGGCTGAGGAAGATCATTGCACCAAAAGACTATTCTGCTGCAACCTTTTGATCAACGTCAATGGATACAGGTATGTATTATTAACATTAACTCTGTAATCTGAGATAACGGTTCTTAATATTAATTAATGGATAATTTCTATTTGGCTTAAGAAATTTTATTCTAACAAACTGACTATCTCACAAAGGATATTTACATGGAGCAACCTCTCGATTTCAAGGTTTCAAACAAGAATTTGGTATGTAAGCTAAATAGGGTTCTTTATGGTCTTAAACAAGTACCATGCACTTGGTATGAACATCTTACTTCCACTTTGTCATAGTTTGGATTTATGTCCAGCAAGTGTTATCCCCCATTTCTCACCTACTGCAAGAACAATGTCTATTTGTATGTCTTGATCTATGTTGATGACATCATTATTATAGGTTCTTCAAGCTCTCTAATTATTGATCTCATCCACAAGTTACATGCCTCTTTTTCTCTTAAGCAACTTGGTAGCAATGAGTATTTTCTTGGTATCGAGGCAAAAAGTCTCACTTCTGGTGTTTTTCTACTTTCTCAGCCAAAGTATATCCGTAAATTGTTATTACGAACCAACATGCTTGAATCAAAAGGCATATCATCTCCTATGGTGAGTAATTGTAAATTGAGTTATTTTGGTACTAATACAGTTTCAGATGGACAATTTTTTTTGCTCAATTTTTGGTGCACTATAGTATGCAACAATGACTCATCTTGAGAGAGCTTATAGTGTTATAACAAGGTGTGCAGTTCATAAGTAATCCTTTTGATAGTCATTGACGAGTTGTCCAACGGATTCTTCACTACCTTAAAGGCACTATTAACTATGGTTTACTTTTGAAACCAGCAACTCTTAGTACCAAATACTCTTTACGAGTTTTTTTGTGATTAGATTGGGCAAGTGACTAGGATGATTGTAGGTCAACCTTTGGATTTTGTGTTCCATTTGGTCCCAATTTAGTTTCTTAATGCTCCAAGAAGTAATCTATTGTTGCTCACTCTAATACTAAAGTTGAGTATCAAAATATGGCTCATGCCACTACTAAGATTATATGGATTCAATCCATGTTAAAGGAACTTAGTATTTCTTATGATACTCCAACACTTTATTGTGATAATCTTGGTGCTATTGCCTTGTCTCACAATCATGTGTTGCATTCTTGTACTAAACATGCGGAGCTCGACATACACTTTATTTGAGAGAAAGTTATTTCTAGAGATTTAGTTGTTTAACATGTTTCAACTATTGCTCAAATAATTGATATATTGACCATGCCATTGTCTTCTCAGCATTTTTGTAATCTTCATGACAAACTTGAGGTGTATAGTTTGTCTGAGGAAGAGTATTAGAGTATACCGATAGCTATATTATGTAAGCTTACGTGACAGTCAGTTAAAATATTACTAGACTCTGTTATATGTAACTACAAACATATAAATACATGTAACATGTATCAAAATTAGTTTAAGAAATGAAAAAGTATTTTATCCAATTTTATTTTTCTCTTATTCTTTGAAATCTCTTATTTTAACAATTGTCAATGTGACATGTTCATTGATGATGTATATTGTTAGTGTAACATAATACGTCATGTTAATAATTAATGTGATATATTAGCGGTTAATATGTCACATCACTAATCAATATGTTATGTCAATAATCAATTAGTAAAAATAAATGATTAATCAAATGAGTGACGAAATGTGCACAAATTCAAAAATTAAGTGATAAAATATACAATTTTAAAAGTTGAATAATTAAATTTATAAAATTGTAAATATATGTAAAATAAATATAAAATAAAAAGTACTATTAAGCCAAATTATTTAAATTATGTGCACGACTTACATACCCATGTTTGTTTACATTATAGTACTGCGTTATTTAAGGTGAAAAAGATCACAGTAGGGGACAACATTTATATTCTCCTCTCTGTTAAATCTAATATTTAATTACTTACTCATGGGGACATGCTAGTTAATTCTACGTTTAGAGGTTATATAATATAAAGTTGGGCAAAGAAAAATAAATAAACACTTGAGTGGTCCTCCCTTTGGAACTTGATCGCATGTCATTATTTGGGGTAGACTTCTTACCCCATAAAATAAAGGTTATCACTATACATTCATGTGCTGACAGTAAAGCCAAATATTAAAAGCGACACTTTATTTGTTAAAGAAAAAAAGAAGCAGCATAAATCACTTAATTATTTCATGTATTGTATTAGTATTTTGGCATACCAAATTCATATGTTTTTCAATCACTTATAAGTCTCTAGAATGAATTTTACATGCTTGTTTGAATAGCATAAATTATACTCTTATTGAAGTGTATATAAATATATATATATATATATATATATAT